CATCCATAATCAACAGTCAATAATCCACCAGCTACTCAGAGAATGTGATGTAGGTAGAAGTCTGCATCTGGAAAAGCTGAGAGGACAATTTTAGCCTTAGTCTAAGATGGGATCCTCCTGGCTCAGTTTCTCTATTGTGTTCCTTTGAAAAGGAATGTTACCCACCTGGCTATTCTCAAGTCTGGCTATGAGATGGACTTGATACTGTATGGTTGGAAAACTGAATTCTAAGGATGTTTTATCCTGTCACACTTGGTATAAATCTAATCCCTGCTTTATCCTTTCATAGCAAATTTCTATAATCACAGCAAATAGTCAGAAAAAGATATAAGCTCAATGCAAGTGTGTGAGATCTTGCTGTTTTGATCTGAATGTGTGGTCATGCCATATCCCAAAACAACTGAAATTAAATCAGAAACATCTTCAATTTGGTTTGGGGAAGAGAATTTCAGTGCAATCAATTTTCTTAGAAGGAGGTAATCTATTTGGCCTAGTCATTACCTAAGGATCCTCCTAAGTCTTTTGTTATAACTGGAGTAAAACTCAGTTTCTGGGAAATTCATTTGTGTAACCTTGTGTTTCCAAGGGTGGAAAACTTCTACCTGCAAAAATGTTGTTACTTCCCAATAGCATCTGATCTTCCTAAAGGAATTGGAATCAGAGTGAAAACTTTTGAGACAGTAACAAGATGAGATAATCCTATCTTTCTTTGTTTTTCCCCATTCTGATATCATTTTTACTTCTCCCTACATTTGGGTCCTACATATTGAACTAGCTTGTCAGATTTCTGTCTTCCAGACTACAGGCCATTCACCTACATTTGGTAGCAAACAGTGGGTACCAGCCTATGTCCACCCATCGTCCCCTGCATGCAGCTTATGCTCAGTTCCAGTCAACCTCCTCTCTGGGACTCCTGTGAGGCAGAGACAGCTCTATGCCCCTTGCCAGCAGGAAGCAGTTTCAGAAGGTGAGACCTTCACCCCTTACCCCAAAACATATTGGGTCCCATTTGTTTGAGGGGGGAATGATGGGGATGGGATTTGGACCCCTAAAAGGAAAAGACCATGTCTTTGGGACCTGGACCCCAAAGCCCCTGAACCCAGATCTCAGTCATGCTCCTGAGGCACCTGGTGCATCCCAGTCAATAATCCTTTTAACCGCCCTTTCACTGTGGCTCTCTCCCTCAATTGTCAGCACCTGACCCACCCCAGGCTACTTGCCACTCCATAATCCCATCTAGATCTTCCCACAGTCTTTCTGTATAAAATATCAATCTTACCCTCATCAAATGCTCAGATTCTTAAAATCTGGTCCACTTGTATTGGTGTCATAAATAGTGTAAACTCACTAGGAATCTCTGCCCACCCCAACTGCATCTTAATAAACTTGCTACTTGGACTGAAAGAAGGTTTGAATGGTCAAATTCTTTTGAGGCAGACCCTTACATTTTGCGGTTCCCAGCACTCCTAGACTGCAACAGAAGTCATGAAAAGAAACATTTTGGTTAAATATAAGTGTGGTATCTGGGGTGCCCCTTCTTTCATGTGAGTTCCCAAGAAAAGTTATTCTAGATTTAATGTGTTCCATGGGTCCACACACAACTATGGCTCACAAGTTTTTACTGACGGTTTTACTTTTATTTGCCAGCCATACACAATTAGTTCAAAGCAACATATTTTAAAGAAATAACATAGCAATAAAAGTAGCAATAGAACATCACTTCAGTAAACCTTGGGCATCCTCTTCAACAGATACACACATCCACATCGTCAGCGGGAAGAGTAGATGCTCTTAGGTATAACACATCAGGGAGCATAGATGTGTGGTTATGTACAAAGGGAAGCATTATAGTCATGGGGGGAGGGAGGAGTGTTTTTTGGTTGTGTTATTGTGTTGCTTTGCTAGGCTTGCCCTGCATCTTTTTCCCCATTTCCCATCCTCTCCACTAGATTCCCACTACTGCTACCTACTTAGCTATAGTCTTCATCTGAGATGCTACGTCTTCCTCAAAAAAGAATAAATTGGCTCAGCTTTCTGGCTCTCTTTTAGATTTTACTCCAGAACCAGAGTTTTAGTTATTTTAGCAAGAAAGGCATGTCCACACCAACTTCTTGCACTCAGAACAAGTAGTATTTCTTCTCAGAACAAGTCATCTCTGAGATTCTTGGCCCCACTGAGGAGATTCAAATAGAGGGGTCAATGAGAAGCCCATTATCTCAAGTACCACTTAAAGCCACTTTAGGAGATGCTGAAATTCAAAAAGACTGGTCAATGAAATAGGAAACTAATAGGGGCCCCCAGCCCCTCTGCCCTGGGCTGAACAATGGAATAACAGTAATAGATAGTGCCTGAAACTCTGAAATGCTGGTTACCTCTCCCCACCCACAGCAGATTTTCCTCTATAAGAACCTCTAGCCTTTGAGCAGCTAGATGGCTCAGTGGATAGAACACCGGCCTTGGATTCAGGAAGATCTGAGTTCAAATCTGGCCTCAAACACTTGACACTTAATAGCTGGGTGACCTTGGGCAAGTCACTTCACTCCATTCCCTTGCCAAAAAAAAAAAAGAGAATTTCTAGCCTCTCCTGGCTAGTGGATATCTTCCATAAGTGGAGGGCATCTCCCTTAAGTGTGGGGGTCCCCCTTACTTGGGCATCACCCTTTATCAGGTATCCCCCTTAAGCAGGCATCTCCCTTAAGGAGCCAGCTATCTGAAACAGCCCTTTCCCTTGGGGGCTGCCCCCCCTTAAACTGGGGTCTCTCTTAAGTTGCATCTCCCTTAGGGGGAAAAGGAGCCTGCTTGGTGTGTTGTGTTATCTGTAAATAAACAATTTCACTGGATTTGGAGATAGCCTGAGTGAATTTTTTCGAGCTTGTACCTCAACATTTTGGGGTACACCCTGAACCTCAACACCAGGACCTAACGTCTTTTGGAACCTAGAGTAGGCAGCCATCTAATTAAAGCCCTTAGACATTTAGTCTGTCATTTAAACTCACTTTCTCCTGCTAGCAGGATCCAAATATCTATCTCAAACCTTTATCTGATTTAGGGTTAGAAAATCCCTTTAATTCTAGTCAATACTTGATTGTCAACCTGCATTCACAGAATCATAGAATTTGGAAGTTGAAAGCAACTTGAGCTTCTTTCTAGTCCTAGGGTTCTTAATCTGGAGTCAGTGAATTTGTTTAAAAATTTTTGATAAATGTGTTTCAATATAATTTAGTTGCCTTTGCATTTCTTTGTATTTTATTTTATGCATTCAATAACATTATTCTGAAAGGGACTCCATAGGCTTCACCCAAATGCCAAAGGGGTCCATGGCACAAAAGATTAAGAATCCCTAATCTAGTGCAACCCACACATGAAAGAATTCCCACTATAACACACCTGACAAGTGGTTGTCCAGTCTCTGCTTGAACAGCTCTAAGGAAGGGAGCCCTATGGCCTTTTGAATTAGCCCATCTCACTTTTGGACAGATTTCATTGTTAGGAAGTTTTTCCTTAGATGAAGACTAAATTGGTCTCATTACTCCTGGTTCTCCTCCCTCCCCTAGTCAAACAGAATTGGTCTAATCTCTCCTCCAATGACAACTCTTAATCCCAACTCTCTTGAGTCTTCTTTGCTCCTGGCTAAACATGTTTGATTCCTTCAATCTATCCTTCAATGTCATACGTTCAAGGCTGCTCATCATTTTGGTTGTCTTCTTCTGGACACTTACATCTGATCAATGTTCTTCCTCAAACCATTTTGGGGGGCCACATTCTAACACACCTGCAAAGGGGCTTCCCTGAGCCATCACGGCTTTCTTTAGGCCCCCAATCCTCAGGGTCTGCCAAGTGAATGAATGAGGAGGAGAAGGCCTGAACAAAAGCCTAGACAGAGTCACTAGATATCTATCACTCCCTCCTCAAATCCTTTGTTCTACATTCCCTCTCTCCCATCAAAAGTGGCTGGCCTCAAACCTTGCACGCCTGGAGCTGCCCTCCACCAGGAATCTTCCTCACCTTGAAAGTTCTCTGAAAGTGGGTTGGGCTACCTTGGGAAGCAAAAAGTAAACTTCTTTACCAGGAGTCTACATGTGGAGGTTTGGTAGATACTTTTCAGTGATGTTGTAGAATGAGTTTTTGTTTGGTTATGGATTGGACTAGATACAGGAGGATTACCTAGTAGGCAGTTAATAAATGTTTGGTGTGTTGTTTCAAATGTTCAATGTTCAGGTAAGTGATGAGCCTGAGTAAGGGCTGACTTTCCTCTGAAAGGTGATGGGGACAAAGGGCAATGCTAATGTTGCTGCAGCTGCAGTAGCCTATGTTAATGAACTAGGTGGAACACTGAGAAGGGCAGTGGGAAGGTAGTAAGCATATATATGTGTATGCATATGTATATATATATAGTGCCTACTATGTGCTAGGCCCTGTGCTAAGTACTTTTTACAAATCATCTCATTTGAGACTCACAACAGCCCTTTGAAGTGGTAGCCATTATCATCTGCATTTTTGTTGTTGTTGTTCAGTCATTTCAGTTGTGTCTGACTCTTTGGGGTTTTTGGCAAAGATGCTGGAGTGGTTTGCCATTTCCTTCTCCAGCTCATTTTACAAATGAGGGACTGAGGCAAACAGGGTTAAGTAACTCACCCAAGGCCACATAGCTAATAAGTGTCTGAGGTCAGATTTGAACTCAAATCTTCTGACTCCAGGCCCACCACTCTATGTCCTGCAGCAGCAGCCGCTTCTGAGAGAGCACTGAGATTGGAGTTTGGAAGACCAGGCTACCACAGCTAGATTATAGAGGGCAAGGGGGCAGGAGCAGTACAATGTTAAGACAGGAAATGTAGGAAGAAGTCAAGTCAAATCCACAAGTGTTTATTAAGCACCCACTTGTGCCAGGCACTGTGCTAAGCACTAGGGATACAAATCAAAGAAAAAAATAGGGACCCTGTCCTCAAGGAGCTCACCTCTTAATGGGGGAGACAACATACCAAAAAAATGTAGATACCAGATATATACAGAGTAATCTCAGAGGGAAAACATTAGGAGTTGGGGGATGGGTGGAAGGACCAGGAATGGCAGAAGGTGAATTTTGGGCTGTGGCTGGAAGAAAGTCGGGGAAGCTGGGACATGGAGGTGAAGAGGCAGATCATGCCAGGTATGGGAGACTGAGAGAGTTGGGAGAGAGAGTATTTTTTGTGACACAGCCAGAAGGTCAATGTCATTGGCCACTGAATTTTAGGAAGAACATTGTAATAGCTGCGTGGAAGACAGATTTGAGTGGGAAGAGACTTGAGGTGGGGAGACACACACTAGAGGGCAAACTTCCTCAGTCCCACTCTCCACAGGAGATAAGTAAGGGTGATAAAGAGTCTCTTCTGAAACTCAAGGAATCTTCTTGTGACCCAACAGCAGAGGGCTAATCAGGAGAAAGTAGTTCGAGTTCCCATCAGAGTCACACTTCAGTGGTAAAGTCAGCACATTTATGATTCTACAGCATATGCCTCATCCATCTAGGGAAAGACACAAGACCAGACATACATTGGGATCAGCCTCCCAGTCCCTCATCTCCAGCATGCTGTCTTCAGCAAAAGCATGCAGAGATGTTTTGTTTAGTTACCAGGGTTTCCCTTTCTATTGCTATCCTTATTGGTTACTAGGCAAGGCAAGGAGCTTTCCTCCCCTCCTTAGCTGATATAGGCACAGAATCCATCACCTAACCAATCAATGAGCCCAAAATGCAATCAAAGTTAAAGCAAGTGTAAAGGAGTTTTACTATAAACCTACAATGTTTGAATAAATCCTTCAGCAATTTCACAGGACTATAGGGCCTTGGCCATTGAATGAAAGAAAGTGATATCACACAGTGACTGGCTGAGAGAATCAGTCACACTCCTTGAGGCTCTCTCTATAGGAAAACAGCAAGCCATTCAGGTCCAGGCTTGAGAGTGCTTTGCTGGAGAGGAGCCTGTGGGGGTGTGAGAGAAGGGGATTTTCCTTCTCCATCCCCTCCAACCAACAACCAAGTCATTGGATCTATTGGACCAGTAGGAGACAATACATGCATCTAGGAACAAAGACAACCCCCCCTCCCCCACATCAAGACAGTTGTGGATACAGAGAGGGTACCTGAGGGAAGAAGCAGCTTGAAGCATAATGTAGTGGTGAAGATGGATTCAAAAAATAAATTAGGGGAATCCATTTGGACAGCTTTCCCAGCAGAGAGCTGCACCTTGGCTCTGAGAGTACTTTACCAAAAAAAATAAATAAATAAATAAAAAGAGAAAGGAAGGAAGGAAGGAAAAAAGAAAGAAAGTAAGGAAGAAAGGAGTCATGAGAAAAAGAAGAAAAGAAAAAGGAAAGAAAGAAGGAAAGAAAAAAAAGAAAGGATTTTGATACCTGCAAGTGTAAGTTAACCTATGCCACATAAGTATTCTACATGTGTGCTTCAATAGCAAAGCATTGTAATTTTGAACTCACTTTTCCCATGGACACTTTGTGTATTTGTTGACGATTTTCCTCCATGTTTTTTGGAATGGAATATTTTATACGAACTATCACTGAGCCATCTTAGTAAATGCCTTTATTTAAAACTGATTAAATGAACTGACTGATTATCAGTGGTAAGCAGATTAAGGAAGTTTCCTGAATTAGGAGTAGCCACTCACAGGATCACCCCTAGAATCTGAGGCCCAGTTTCAGGAGACTCAATCTGAGAGCATGAATGCAAGTTGGATGTTGTACCCCAAATGGACTCTTGCACAAATATACCCTTACCTCTCTTTAAATATTTCTGCATACATACTGAGGCTGAAAGATTTGTGAGACCTTATCCTGGACTAGAAGGATGAGAAAGCAATGAGTTATAGGTTGTCATTGCCCTCAGGGAGCCCAGTCTATCTGGGGGAACACAACAAAAATGTATAGAAAGATGAAGAACACAGATGATAAGGGTCTAGTGAGAGGTCCATACAATTAAGGGCAAAGGAGGCCAGAGGATAGAAGGCTCTCTGAAGATCTCGGTGATTTTGAGGATGTTGGTTTGGGGGCTGAACCTTGGTGGATAGATAAGATTTAGAGAAGTGAGGAGGAAAGGGGGGTACATTCAAGTCAGGGAGAACAGGGCAAGCAAAGGTTTGGAGGTTGGACTCAATGGTACACATTCAGGGCACAGTGAGCACACTAGTTTAGCTGAAGCATGGAGTATATGGATGGGGACAATTGGAAACAAAGCATATTGGGACTGGATTTTGGAGGGCCTTGAGTGCTAGTCTATGGAATTTGGATTATGTACTGGGGACAACGGGGTCACAAATGGTTCTCAGAGCAGGGGAAGGACATGATGTTATTTCATGTGTTTATCTTGTCTCACCAAGACAGCTGCAAGTTACCTGAGAGTGAGTGACATTTCATGTAGTTCTTAATCACCAAGGTTGCCCAGAACACAGGGAGGGAACACAGCCATTGATTGATTAGGGATGTCAGTTCTAAGGGTTCTAAGTACATCAGAGGCTAGGGAATCCACAAGGGGAGTGAGATACTAAAGTACCAGTCTGGAAACAGGGGCTGCAGGGCCTCTTACCCTCTCCTACTCCCTTGCAAGTGATAAATTTTGTTTTAGCTAATTTTCATAAGAATACAATATTTAGAGCTGAGAAAAAGTTGAGAGACAGCTAGGTGGTACAGCAGATAGAGCTCTGGGAGTCAGGAAGACTTGAGTTCAAATCCAGTCTCAGACACTTACTAGCTGTGTGACCCTGGGCAAGTCACTAAACTTTTGTCTATCTCAGTTTCCTCATTTGTAAAATGGAGAAATTAATAGTATTTCCCAGGGATGTGGTGAGGATAAAAATGAGATACTATTTATAAAGCACTTTGTAAATCTTAAAGCACTATATAAATGCTATTATTACTGTTATTGTTATTGTTATTATCTAGTTCAAGTCCTTCATTTTCTATGTAATGCATTCTCAACTAATCAGTCGGTCAATAAACACTTATCAAGTACTTACTATGTGCTCAGCACAGTGCTAAGCACTGGGTATGGAAAGAAAGACAAAAGCACAATTCTTGCCATCAGTGAACTCAAATTATAATGGAGAAAACACGTAAATAACTATGTACATACAAGACATATTCTCCCTAACTTGAATTGGCACTTACAGAGGGAAGCAACTACTGCTCTCAGTGTTCTAGGGTAACCCTGAGAGGCTAGCCTTCTCATTTTGTTTTTCATAAGCCCCAAGCAGTGTGTTTTCCTTAAATAATCAGTCAATAGCACCAATTAGCTCTTAACAAAGGCATTTACCAAGAAGGTATTGCTAGAATAGTTCATATAAAACATTTCTCACATAAAACCTGGGGCACACTTTCCTACAAATACGGCATCCACGGAAAGGGTTGGCTCAAGCTGAGAGCATGATGTAGTGAGGCATATATAGCTAACATATGTGGCAAAGGAGTAACTCACACTTTGTGGTACTGGAAGCCCTTTCTTTTTTTTATGGATGCCTCATGAAGTTCCCCTTGAGCATAGCTTTCTGCTCTGAGGGTCTTCTGTGACTTTCTAGAGTCTATAGCCAATACTTCTTTCAACCACAAAGGGACACCTTCCGGGCAGTTCCCTTTCCTCCCATCATCTGGTACTAGAAGTCCTTTCTGTGCAGAGTCCTCATGTAATTCCCCTTGCATGAATATCTCTGCATCTTTTTGTTTTTAGTGAGGCAGTGACAAAGAGAGACAAAGACAGAGAGACAGAGACAGAAAGAGACAGACAGACACAGAGAAAGAGACAAACATACAGAAAGACACAGAGGCAGAAAGAGAGAGGAAAACATAAAGAGGAGAGAAGCAAAAGAGAAGAGAGGAGAGAATTCTATAGGAGAGACAAAGGAGAAAAAGTCAGGGACAATTAGAGTGAGAACAAGTGACAGAGAGGAAAGGAAAGAGGAGAGATGGATGAAAGAGAGGGAGAGAGCAGCATACTCTTTTGGGGTCATGTTACCTTTTCAGTGGCCCAGGGCCTATATATCATATATAGCAGACATAGGCAGATGACAAATAGGATTTCAATCACAAGTCCAACAGCATGGAAAACAACATAGATCACGAAGATTATCCAAACGAGCCAGTCCATACAGTTGAACTTCTCTCTGTAAACAAGTCCTGGGGGTCAAACCCCAAAGGTCATCAACTGGAGCCCTGTCCTGGGCATGTCTGGGTCACTGATTTCTGCTTCTATGGTAGATCTGGCAGGCCCCAGCCTCCTTGATAAGCACACACCTAAGGCAGGGCTATACGAGGCATTCTAAGTCAGGGAAACATGGCAGTGGGATGATTAGGGGAAACATAAGGGATCAGAGTTGCATAGGAACTGAGGAGCCTTGGGCTCTAATTTCATCTTGTTCTCCTCCCCAAAACACCTTCCCATCTCCCCCCAGCCCTTTACCTCCACATGTGTGCAACATCCACAGATAACAAATGGCGAAGCCAATTTCAAATGCTGACGTCACAGCCAGGATCCCATTTATCTCCCATGACCAAGGAAAGATCTGGAGAATGTTTTCTGAAAGAAGCTCCAAGGGGTTAGAGAGTAACAGCTCCAACCTTCCTTATTCTCCTCCAAACCTCTCCTCTCCATCAGTTAAGGAAAAACTTCTCCTCTTTATGTCCTTCCCCACTCCAAGTTTGCAGCGCCTCTCCCTTGAATTACCTTGCATTTTTCTTACATATTTTGGATGTAATTCCCCAATTGCCTAATTGTTCTCCTCTCAAGTCATACCACACTCTAATCCATCCTCTACAAAGTTGCCAAGGTGAATTTCTTAAAGCAAAGGTCTATGTCCCTCCACTACTCAGTAAATTCCTTTATTTGACAGTTAAAGCTCTTCTCAACCTTGGCCTATCCTACATTTTTATCCTCTACACATATTCTCGACCTTCATTTACTTACTCTATCACCTAGCCATACTGGCCTACCCAGTGTTTCTTACACCTCCCATCTTTATGGTTTTGCACAGGCTGTCCCCCATGTCTGGAATGTTCTCCCTCCTTTCCTCTGCAGATTGAGGTTGAAGAAAGGGACAGAGATCTTCTATCACTCTATCCCAGGATACAGTAGAAACTTTGTACATATACTTGGGGTTTCATCTACACTGGTTGAATAAAATTGATTGAGATCTGAAGAAAGTTAAGGATTTGCAAATGAAGCAATGAGTAAGGAGTGCATTCTCTACATGGGCAATGCCTGTGTAAAGACATGGTGGTGGGAAATAGCATGGTGAGTTTAGAACACATTCTTGTGTGGCTGGACTATTTAATGCATGAAGGGGAGTAATGGGGGAAAAGTCTAGGCTAGAATAGGATTTAGGCTAGATAGCAGTTTATCTGAAAAAGACCTAGGGTTTTTAGTGGACAGCAAACTTAATATGAGTAAGCAGTGTGATGTGGCAGCTGAAGAAACCAATTAGATTCTGGGCTGCATAAGAAACTGCTTTCAGGACCATGGAGAGAATTGCGTTTCTGTGCTCTGCCTCCACCAGCCCTCATCTGGAATAATGCTCAGTCTAGCAGGGGTGGGGATCCTGCAGCCTTGAGGCCAAATTTAGCTTTCTAGGTCCTTGGCTGTAGCCTTTTGGCTCAGTCCAAGTTTTACAGAACAAATCCTTTTATTAAGGGAATTTATTTTGTGAAGTTTGGATTTAGTCAAAGGACTGCTCTTGAGGACCTAGAGGGCCACATGTGGTCTCAAGGTCACAGCTTCCCTACTTCTGGTAGGCACTGCAGTCTAAAAGGATGTTGATAATCTGATGAGTGTCCAAAGGAAGGCATCCAGACTGGTGACAGACCTTGATTCCTTGCCATATAAGGATCAGATAAAAGAACTGGTCATGTTTAGCTTGGAGAAGAGAAGATTCAGGGGGACATGTGAATGGTCTTCAAGTTTTTGAAAGATTATTCTGTAGAAGAGAGATTAAATTTGTTCTATTTGACCCCAGAAGACAGAACCTGAAACAATGCATGGAAATTGCAAAGAAACGAATTTTGGTTTGTCCTAATAATGAAACTACCTAAGCATGGAATAGGTTGCCTTGAGAAGTAGTGAGTTCCTCCTCCTTTGAAGTGTGGATGATGGATCCCATGTTGTGTATGTCATAATGGTACTTCATTTTGCATTTGGGCTGCACTAGATTGCTGCTGAAGTCCTTTCCAATACTGAAATTCTGTGATTCTGTGACCTCAGCATGAAGACCTAGGGATGGATGGGGATTCTTAAATCTCTCAGGGCCCCTCTGCTGATCAGGTACTATGTATATATGGAGAAGGGGAAGCTGGGGGTGGGGTAGAATAGTGACCTATTGAAAGGAAGGGTGTGTTGGATGGAGTAACTTTATGGTAGTAATCGGGAGGAAGTGACCTATGGGGGGTTTTTGGGGATTCCAGGAGGTGTGCTAGGAGCAATCATCAGTAGCTGAAGGATGGATAAGAAGTCAGGACTCTTACTTCTCATTTCCTTTTTTGCCCTTCCTGCTCAGACCTGCCCAAGTATACTAGAGAAGTATACCCCTGCCCTCAGCTCCCACTTATAGTTACCTCTGCCTCGTAGGAGGAAAACCACAGAAAAGACAAATGACAGAACCCACTCTACAATGATGATCCCAGTTAAGATGATCAACCATGGTAGTATATGTTGTTCAGCTCCCTCACCTAAGAGGAAATAGTTTAATCATTACCTTGGAATATTAGCTTTCTGCTACATGACAGCCTATTAGACAACATTAATAGAAAGATTACAATAGTTTTATACAGAAGTAATTCCATTGCCATAAAAAAGAGAGCAAAATAGCCTAAAATGCCCCCTGTGTACTTGCCAAGCAATTATGCCTTCTCTACTGGTTCCTTCTCTGCTGCCTACAAATACAACCAAGTCTCTCCAACCTTTCAAAAACTCTCACTCTCACTACTACTATCCCTGATTGTCATTATCCTATAGCTCTCTTCCTTTTCTCAGCCTATTTTCCCATCTACACATAATATTTATGAGCTTCATGTATACATAGTTCAAGAGCATCCTTGAGGAGGGCATTAGTAGGGAACAAGAAGGATTTAAGCCAATGATGGATCATATTTTTGTAATTGTGCAAATTACTAAAAGATGTAGAGAATATGGGATGCTACTGGGCTTGCTGTTAGTTGATTATGAAAAAGCATTTAATTTGCTAGAGCAGAACACAGTTTTAAGTTTCTCTTCCAACAAAGTATTTCCCCTCCAGAGACCAAAATCATCCAAGATTCCTTGGAAGGCCCAATGATAGAAATATTCCTATTCAATGATGCTCTGACCATAAACACTGATCAGGCAAGGCATAGAACAGAGAAGTTTATGTTGGCCAAAGGGATCAGGATAGCAATAGAAGACATAGTGTACAGACTACTGTATTGGGTTGCAATTTTCATCATTGGAGGAAATACAGAGAGATACGTATTTCAGTAATAAAAAGAAGATAATGTCTAGAATGAAGAATGTGATAGTCTCACCATTGTGTATTGTGATTGTACCACATTCGGATGTGGTGTTTTGTTCTGGGAATGACAATAATAGTAATAAAAATGCATCTGAATAGTGCTTTATAATTTACAAAATGCTTTCCTTACAACAACACTTTGAGATCAGTAGGGCATATATTATTATTAAGGTTCCGAGAGATGATGTCTTGTCCATGGTCACACAAGATTGGAAATGGGGTACATGGGTCTCTGATTCCATTCCAATCCTCCCCCCCCAACTTTTCACAAAAGGCATTGAAAAGCTAGACTAGGGCCAAGGGTTTGGAGGGTTTTGGAGACCATGTCATCAGAGGATCAAATATCCTCTACTTTCCTCCTGTGGTGGCCTTTAGTAGAGATTAGAGGACCACTTGTTGGTGATTCTATGGAGGGAATTCTTATTCAAAGTATGAGTTAGACCTCTGAGGTCCTTTCTAGCTCTGAGGTTCCATGATGCTAAAACACAAGTTGTGTCATATCCACCCCCATCCCAAGGTCTGACCCACATTATCAGCCCAAGTATAGGCCTAGACCAAATGACTTTTAGGACATCTAATTGAAGCCAAGGGCACCTGGCAAAACAGCATCAGATAGGTAAAAAAGGCAGGAAAATGATATAAAAATGACTCACAGGTGACATCTTGGGCTTTTGGCCAGAATGCAATAGCAGAGTAAGGAGCCAAGAGATGAGGATAGGAGAAAGGAGGAAGGAAAAGGTGAGAGGTGATCAGAAGTTGGATTTCTCCATAAGGCCTTCTCACAGAGAACAGCTGAGGACAGTTTCTGTTTTCATTAGGGCTTTGGCAGCGATATGTTAATTACAGATTGAACACACCTTGGCAAATAGCAGCTAATTGGAATAAAGAAATAAGTCTGCTTAGCAGCCCTGGGTATAGAGAATATTTGAGAAAACTCAGGAGAGACAGCAGTAAGAGCAACAAAGGACTGAGGGTTTTAGTTTCAGCATCTGTTGAGGAAAGTTGCTGTAATTTACAGGGAAAAGACTGCATTTCTCAAAAAACCAACTAATTCATGCCATCTGCATGAATAGAAACAAGGGTTGTTTTTCCTTCTAAAGTAGGACAAAGAGCTGGAGGTAGCCCCTCTACTCTCTAGCTTTTCAGGCAGCATGAAGAGTTCCTTGAAAGAATGGTATTTTTTTTTAAGACAATTGGGGTTAAGTGATTTGCCCAGGGTCACACAGCTAGTAAATGTCAAGTGTTTGGTCGGAGGCTGGATTTGAACTCAGGTCTTCCTGACCTCAGGGCCAGTCCTCTATCCACTACACCACCTAGCTGTCCCCAAGAATGGAAATGTTTTAATGGGAGAAAAAGTGGGAAAAACTTTCTCAAGAGGTTGAAGGGAATCATCGACTATGGAAGGGGTTTGGAGTATAAAGAATGTGTCACAAAGAAGGAAGGAAAGAGATTATTAGCATTCAGATATAGGTAATGGATATGAAATTCTTGCTATGGAATGTGGGGCTATACTCTGAGAAGACAGCAACTTCTCATGATCCATGGAATGTTGTTGAGTTCTGTCTCCACCAGATTGCTACAGTGAGTACCAGAGAGAATGGTAAGCATGGAAAAAGTAGGAAAAACAGTAGTGGAGATTCCTTCTGATGTATAGACTACATCATTCAAGGACAAGGACAGCAATAAAGTTCATAGCTTCAGATATCTTGACACCAACACCAACTAGTCTAGTACAATAATTAGATAATTCAATGCAAGGAGATAAACATGTTTGCATAGGTATTATTGGAATGTAACAGGATGTAACTCATGACTGGAATACAGTGATTGAAAAGAATAGATTAAAAAAGAACAGATTAGATCAAAGTGGGGTAATGCAGTAGTGTTGTATAGTATGAAGAGAGACTCCTGTGAAAATAAGTAGCATCCCTTAATGCTAGAACGCCAGACTTGAAGCCAGGAAGACCAGTGTTAAAATCCTGTCTCTGCCACTAAGCCACCTGACCATAGAAAAGTCATTTAGCCACTTTGAGCCTCAGGAGATTCTTTAAGATTTATCTATGAAGTTTTCGATGGGTTATACCATTTACATGGGTAGCTAGGTGGTGCAGTGGATAGAAAGCTGAGCCTGGAATCAGGAGGATCCAGGTTCGAATCCAGTCTCAGACACTGATTAGTTGTGAGAACCTGGGCAGGTCACTCAACGCTGTTTGCCTCAGTTTTCTCTTTTATAGAATGAGCTTGAGAAAGAAATGGTAAACCACTACAGTATCTTTGCCAAGAAAACTCCAAATGGGGAGTGAAGAGTCAGACACAAGTGAAAATGACTGAACAACAACATTCCCACTTTACAGTTGAGAAACCTTATGAAAGCAGAGGTTAAATGACTTTCCCAGCTTAGCACAGCTACTCAGTATCTGACAGCAGATTTGAATTCCAGTCTTTCTGACTAGAAGACTAGTGCTTTATCTACTACCCCACGAGCTGCTTCTGTGGTGAGGAAATTAATGGGTATGCTATATGGAAATCTGTTGAAGGAAAAAAAAAGAGATCTGGGTTGATGGGGAGACTTAATTCTTGCCAGGATAATGGGGAATGGAAGAAGGTAACACAGATTAGAAAGGGAAGGAAAAAGACAGTTGTACAATGACTGCTCAAATACAGATTTGAGGTTCTTCTCAGAACACACACACACACACACACACACACACACACACACACACACACACATCCAAGACAGAAGAGAACTTCCCTCAACTTATCAAAATGGATGGCAACTGTTCATTTCTTGTGACTTGTGAATTGAGCACAAATAACCCAACCATAAGGAACCTAAAAAGTACTGCCAACAATTATCATCTTGGACAACAAACTGAAGGCTTAAAAGTCATGGATTATGTTTCCCTTATAGCTGTCTATTAAAGGAAAGAGGGACAGGAGTGAAGTAAGGTGATGGTAAGAGACCACCTAGTACATTCAAGTCACTTGGCCCAAATGAACTACATCCTCATGTCCTGAAAGAATAGGCAGATGCAATTCATAAAAATTAATATCCAGTGACATTTGAAAGATCACAGGAAAAGTAAGAATGCACCACAAGATTAGAGATGGACAAGTGTTTGATTTTCAAAAAGGGGAAGAGTCTGAAAATAAAAGGCTAATGAACTTGATTTTGTTGAGAAAATTAAAAAAAATGAAAGAGATGGTTGGTGAGTATTTAGAAAAGGAAGAAATGATTACAAAGAGCTTCATTGAGAACATGACTTCATTGAGAACAAATAATGCCAACCTAACCTCATTTCCTTTGTTGATAGGATTACTAAACTAGTAGATGAGGGAAATGTGGTGGATATAGTTTACCTAAAATATTAGCAAAGCTTGTGACCAAGTATCTCATACCAGTATTGTGGAGAAGATGGAAAGGTAAGGGTTCTTCCTCTACATCCTCCTTCCCTGCTTTCTCTCTTTTGCCACCAATGTCCCCTCTCTCCTTCTCTTTCATTTTCCCCTGCTCATTTCCTTTCTCCTTTTTCTTTATCTCTGGCAACCAGTCTTGCAAGGCTGTTTTCAATTTCCTACCATGGTATCTGTGTTTCAGACTCCAAGTAGGGACTCCACTGCCTCCTCTGGCCACCAGCCCCAAGTTGTCATAACTCAGATGAGAAAAACACTCTCCCAATCCTTCATATAGGTGCTCCAAATTTCCAGAACTACACTCCTAGCTCCTCACCTGAGACACATAACTTCACATCAGCTTCTTCTTGATGAGAACCATTGTCAAAATGACATTTATACCATCCTTCATCTAGGGCTCTAATGTTCCATATCCTCAGGGTAACATTTCCACTAGTGATGCCATTTCTCACCAGCTCTGTCCTCCCTCGGTAATCAGGACTTTGATCTTTAAACTTATCCTCCCCATCTTCATAGTGATGCACGATTTGTAGTGATCGAGACCAGATCACTTTCATGTGCTGAGCACTCTCCTGGGGAGAAAGGTGACATGGTAGGGCTGCTTCTCCCCCTACCTGGGCCTGGATGGGTTCTGTAGGTCCAATCACTGAGAACTGCTCTGTTGAAGAAGAAAGGAAGAAGAGAGATGTGTTCAGAGAGGACAAATGCAGCAAGTGGGAGGAAGAGTGGGGAACCTATAATGGGAGAGAGGAAAGCATCTGGAGACGTGAAGGGACAAAGCCCATGGAGGGAATCAAGGAAGAAGGGACAGGATGATGATGATATTGAGAAGACTTCAGGAAGGAGGGAAGAGAAACTGGAAGGGTTGGTGGTTAATGAGGGAATGACTTGGAAAGTAGTGGGGGTGAGATGGGAGGGCAAAATCTCTCTAGGTTTATCCTTCAGAACCAACCTGATAAATCTATAGAGCCAGACAGAAGTAAATACCTCTACCTGATGCCAATGTGTAAGTCTCAAGGAAGAGGAAGATGAGCAAGCTGGAGAGAAAGGAGCCTGAAGGATTGACAGTCTCCATCATACCTAAGGGAAAAAATACAACAGAGACAGGGTATTTATGTCAGGGAGGGAGTATGTCAGTGCATCAGAGTCCTAAGATGTCCTAGCCAGGCAGGCCCATGATAATGGGAGAAGGACTTAGAAAGTAAAGCCTCTGATTCATCTACCTTCCATTCCACCCAGGCTAGTCCTCCCATCCTCTTCTTCTGGGTTCATTTCCACCCACTTTTGTACCCCTGCTCCTACTCTTTCCTCAGCCTTAAATGCCCTGGACTCACCCTTTCCATCCTTTCAGCTCTTTCTCTCTCTCCAAGCCTTGGCTCTCCATGAAGCGTGTTCTGTCTCCCTTAGCCCAAAGGAATCTCTCAACTAAGCATGAATACTGCACAGAGATTCACCACTTGTTTTTTATGTGGGGACCAGAGAGGCTTAGGTATCTGGGACTAAGGGGACATTGATTTCTCCGAAGAAGGAGAGAGCCTGGCTGGACTCAGGGCAAAATAAGGAGTACCAGGAGAGCTAAGAAGAGAAGCTAGACTTACCTCATAGGTTGCAATGAGCTGTGCTGTGTAACTGCTGTATCTCTATAACTTGTCTTGTGCAGAGCTATGCACTGTGTCCTCACACTTCAGGAAATCCACTCCTATCTTGGGACTGGTGGCAGAAAGTGGCTCTGGGGGTACCACTGGGCCTAGAAGTTGGTTCTACAGCCACAGTTATAGTTTCTGTTCTCCTCTGGAGCTTGTATCCCCACCCCTGAAACCCCACCCCTCTTCCTGGGGCTGTGTTCTTCTGATAAGCTTAACCCAATGGTATGAGCAGAGAGACATAATCCAGAGACCAGTAGCAAGAATGACTTTGATATTGAATTAACCTCTTCTGTGGAAAGCCACTCTCTATGCTGCCAGTCAGACCAAGAGCTGAAGTTTAGGACTGAGTCCACTGGATCAGGATGATGGCATAGCTTATGGGAGGTGTGTAGTGAGGGACTTGGGAGTGAGAATGTGCATGTTATGGGTTAAGGAGATGGTGTTGGGGATGGACAAAGATACATATAAAAGACAATGGGAGGACAGAATGGACAGAATATTCTCTGAGAACTTTAGAACATTCCCATGTTGAAAGGCACCCCAGAGATCTCCTGAGCCAACCAATCCATACCTGAAGAGGAATTCTTCTGCCACATTCCTGACCAGTCATCACTGAGATACCACTTGAAGATCCTCAGTGATGGGAAACATTCCATTTTGGACAGCTCCAATTATGAGGAAATTCTTCCCAATATTGAGCCAAAATCTACCTCTTGGCAACTTTCATTCCTTGTTCCTAGTCCTGCTCTTCAGGGACAAGCAGAAGCCTAATCCCTCTCCCACATGACAACTCTATCCCATGTCCCCATAAGTCTTCTCTGGGCTAAAGATTTCCTAGTTACTTCAACTGATCTTTGTATGGCATGCTCTTGAGAACCCTCAACAACCTGGTCATGCTTGTTGAGTTAATGTCCTTCCTAAAAAGAAGGTCAGCATTTAACACTATGTTTCAGAAGTGATCAGACAGAGTAGAAACAGAGGAAATGGAATTTCTCTCATTCTACACCCTGGGTTTCTATTAATACAGTCTTAAGAGTTAACTTTTTTGGTTGTCTCATCACATTGCTGACTGCTGTTGAGTTTGCAGTCACTATAACAACCTTCTTTTCTCTGCTAATGAGCCCACCTTGACTCCTCCCTTTCCTTCATCTCTTATAGCCAATGTCACCAAGTAATGACAAAGAATTCAATCTGGTCTAATCCAATCCAATCTAATTAAATTTGTTTAGATTTGATAAGTAGAAGCACATACTATGTGCCAGGCATTGTGCTAAGTTCTGGGTATATGAAGGCAAAAATGACATAGTTCCTGTCCTTAAGTCCCTTAGGTCTATGTACAGAAATTATGAATATAAAACATGTACAAACAAATACAAAGTACTTTCCAGGTGGTGGTGGTGTGGAGAGTGTTAACAACTGGAAATACGGGGGCATCATGAAAGGCTTCCTTAAAGAGGTGTTCAAATCTATGCAAAGATCCAGAGGTGGAACATGGAATATTATATGCAAGGGAATAGCAAGGGGGCCACTTTGGTTGGAATGTCAATTGTACGAGAAATAGTAATGTGAAGTCAGCCTAGAAAGATAGGTTGGAGCCAGAATGTCAATCAAGATAAACTGCTTCAATCAAATCCCAGAAATGGGTACCAGGGTCTTGTTGGCCAACACAGTATATAGACACTAGCTATTTTCCAGGCAACCTTCCCTTGAAGAAATTATGGGATAGTTTGCATGCCTGGGAAAAGGAACAAAAGTTAAGAGTAGCTTTTGTGCTGCTTATGAGGTTATGAGGGAGTAAGAGGAGAGTTTTGAGGAGAGGATTTGGAAGGACTATGTCATGGTGGGAAGGAGAGAGAGATTATAAATGATCTTACCAGATCTCTCTTCAGGGAGGTAAATTGCCTAGTGCTGTGTGTCCACCTTCCTTCAGCCAATTTGGATCCATAAAGCTTTATGAGAAGCACAATTAAATGTCTTTGTCTTACTCTGTGAGCTCAATCCTGTCCAGGAAGTAATAGATGGAGGCTGTGATAGAGGAAACCTGGGTTCTGGGATTAACATCTTGGCACAGCTAGGATTGGACCAGGCCAGACCAGAGTAAATGCACAGGCCCTAAATTTTCCAGGAATGGATCCCAATCAATGCTTTTGTTTCAGACTACAAGGCGGATAATTTTATTAAAAATTGGGCATGGATGGGGGATGGCAACTTGGAAGGAACTGAAATACTTTTGGGATTATTTAATGGTTTAGATAGGCTACATTTGTGATATGAAGTCCAAAGACTCAGATTCATGAGGAGGCAACAGTTTCTCCCCAGACTTGACTGGTATACCAGCATGGCCAACACAGAGGAAGGCTCAACTGAATCAAGGCCCTATCCTTGCTAAATATCCTTTCCTTACTATTGCTTAATCAGGCTCCTTTTGTCAATCATTAGGAGGTCTATGAGTTTCTCATTTTTTTCCCAGCCTGAATCATGCGTAGCCTACAATACGACACTTCCACCTTACATGATCTAATGTAAGAGGAAACCCTGTGAGCTTAAGCTTTGGGTTAAAACATGCCGTATAGTTTTAAAAATGTACACATGAGAACAAAGATTGTTTGGAGGGAGACACAGACAAGCTGACAACTTTGAAACCACCAGGTTGAATTTATTATGTAAAGAATAGACAGGTCCCAATTAATGCTGTGCCTTCTGACTCAGCCTTAATCATCCAATCCCTAAAAAAAAAAAAATCCCAGGGACAGAAAAAAGCAGAAAAAATTAAACCTAGCCTCAATGTGGTTCATACGTTGCTGAAGAAATGAGGCACCAATCTATGGCAAGAGACCCAAAAACCATTAAAGAGACCCTTGGGACTGCTCAGTTTATGGATTACAACATCAATGACAGACATCCTCATGGTTTCATTGATAATATCAATAGTTGTGCTATGGAATGCCCAGCTAGTTAAGAACTACAAAGTAGATTATTTTAATAAATAAACCTTTAATAACAACCAAAAAAACTTTAGATGAGCTGGCCCAGTAGCTTCACATTTCAGTATTGACCATGGTCAGCAGGTCTTATTCAAATTCTCCCGTAATTTGTTAAATGCTTGTTAAGTAAATGAATGTGAAGTCCACTAAGGGACAGAGCAGACTGCATGTCAGGTCTTTTGCTCTGATTGTGGGCATAGGTCTGCTGCAGCCACTTTGTGGAGGTAACCCAAGATTTGTAAAAGATAGGTTTCAAACATTTATAAGGTTATGCATAATAAAAGTTAATAATTATATAGTGCCTTAACAAGCAGAAAACATTTTATGCAATTGATCCCATTTGATCCTTGCAATGAGTATGCAAGGTAAGTACTAGAAGTATTTTAATCTCCATTCTATAGATAAGGAAACTGAAGCTCAGAGAGGTTAAGTAAGTTGTCCATGGTCACCCAACTAGTAAGTTGCAGAAGTAGGATTTGAAGCCAGGCTTTTCTGATTTCTAGTCCAACACTATCCACTACACCTGCTCATCTCATACTTTAATGAGAAAATGGAGACCATTCACCAGGTTCTCTCTCTCCTTTCTTTCTCTGCATCTCAAAACTCATTGACATCCCCGCCATCTTTTCTGTTCTCTTTTCCTTTATTCCAGCCTCTGATGAATAGGTTACTCTTTTCATCAAGGTAACCTTTCTACACACACCTTGATCTAATCTCCTCCCATCTTCTCCAATAGATCACTCTTGCAGTTATCCTTATCACTAATCTTTAGTCTCTTCCACTCTATGAGTTACTTCCCTGCTATTTAAAAAGAACAAAGCAACATTATACACAGTTCAGCAATGAGCTGAATCAATCTGGCTGAATGTGTGATTACTTTTCCTGTAATATTACAATTTAGCCTAGTTATAGATTTTTTGGCTAATTTTTTGTGACCCACTGATCTTTCTACGTCTGAATATAAACTTTCTCATATCGCTAGTTATTATTATTATTTACATGTTATTGTCAGTATAGGACATCAGTATTTCTAAATTTTATGGCTTTTATCTTTTCCCTAGAGTTTGCTATAAATGAAATTTTAGGCAGAAATGGTGCAACCTCTGGGCTCATCCCTTTCTTTTTGTCTAAACCGATGTTCTCAGTCCTTGGTAAAGTTATTTGGATTCTTTATACAGTGCCTATTTTAATCAAATCACATGCCTTCCAGGACATCTCAACATTGAGAAACAAGTTTGCTTTACCATTCTCCAGAGGCTGTTTCAATGTATCAGTTTTCTTTTGAACATTTTTTAACAGTTCTTTTGTATCAAGGTTAGGGTAGTTTTCATTTCTAGTTGTTTCTGTACATTTATAATATGAACATCTTGATTTCTTGGGTGTACCTTTGTTTTACCTCACTAGTCAATTTCCTTTTCTGTTGAGATCTCTCAATTTAAATGTTTCTATCTACTTCTCAAGGGTTCTTGGTTTCTGTTTCAAATCTCTTTAATTTTCTCTGAACACTAATGTTTTCCAGCTAACCTCCGTCCTTTCCTTATATTTTTTGATTTAAAAAGCTCAAACCTTTCTAAAGCTAGTTCCTTGGGCATCAGCTTCCTGCAAACCAAGAGACACTTCTCTGCTTGAGTGTACTAGTTGTGTTCATGACTATCTAGCTCACATTTGTAGTAGAAAAAAGTTCTGCTCATGTGATTTGATGGTTGTATTTTTGCATCAAATCATGATTTAATTGAAGATGACATCAATCTTACTGTTTGGGGGGGGGAGTCTAGAATGACCTCTGCCTCTGCGCCATCTTCATTGCCTGATGCTAATTCCTTTGAATTTATCCTCACACACACGGACTCTACCTTCTCCTTTTGGATATTTTCATTACTCAAGCATCCTCAAGGCCACAGCTATTACAGAAGATAATTCCCACTTCTTTTCTGGGGCAGTTGCTCATATTAGTCTTGCATCAGATGCTTATGATCTCTGTCTTTCTGGTCTTTATTTTCCCAACTAGGACAATTTTTTTCCACAGT